AATCGCGATTTTTGCCCGCCAGCTGCGAAAATCTCATGGTTTTTGGCCGCTAGCGGCGAAAATCGCGCTATTTTTGGCCGCTAGCGGCGAAAATCGTGATTTTTGCCCGCAGCTGCGAAAATCGCGCGGTTTTTGGCCGGTAGCGGCGAAAATCGCGCTATTTTTGCCCGCCAGCTGCAAAAATCGCATAGTTTCTGGCCGCTAGCGGCGAAAAAAAGCACGATTTTTGGCCGCTAGCGGCGAAATTTGCACGTTTTTTGGCCGCTAGCGGCTTAAATCGCGCGATTTTTGGCCGGTAGCGGCTTAAATCGCGCGATTTTTGCCCGCCAGCTGTAAAAACCGCACGGTTTTTGGCCGCTAGCGGCAAAAATCACGCGGTTTTTGGCCGGTAGCGGCGAAATTTGCGCTATTTTTGGCCGGTAACGGCGAAAATCGCGATTTTTTCCCGCCAGCTTCGAAAATCGCATGGTTTTTGGCCGTTAGCGGCGAAAATCGCGCGGTTTTTGGCCAGTAGCAGCGAAAATCGCGCTATTTTTGCCCGTCAGCTGCAAAAATCGCATAGTTTCTGGCCGCTAGCGGCGAAATTCGCACGATTTTTGGCCGCTAGCGGCGAAATTTGCACGTTTTTTGGCCGCTAGCGGCTTAAATCGCGCGATTTTTGGCCGGTAGCGGCTTAAATCGCGCGATTTTTGCCCGCCAGCTGTAAAAACCGCACGGTTTTTGGCCGCTAGCGGCAAAAATCACGCGGTTTTTGGCCGGTAGCGGCGAAATTTGCGCTATTTTTGGCCGGTAACGGCGAAAATCGCGATTTTTTCCCGCCAGCTTCGAAAATCGCATGGTTTTTGGCCGTTAGCGGCGAAAATCGCGCGGTTTTTGGCCAGTAGCGGCGAAAATCGCGCTATTTTTGCCCGTCAGCTGCAAAAATCGCATAGTTTCTGGCCGCTAGCGGCGAAAATCGCGCGATTTTTGGCCGCTAGCGGCGAAAATTGCATGGTTTCTGCCCTCTAGCGTCGAAAATAGCGCGGTTTTCGGCCGTTAGCGGCAAAAATGGCCCGATTTTTGGCTGCTAGCGGCGAGAATCGCACGGTTTTTGGCCGCTAGCAGCGAAAATCGCGCTATTTTTGGCCGGTAGCGGCGAAAATCGCGATTTTTGCCCTCCAGCTGCGAAAATCGCATGGTTTTTGGCCGCTAGCGGCGAAAATCGTGCTATTTTTTGCCGGTAGCGGCGAAAATCGTGATTTTTGCCCGCCAGCTGCGAAAATCGCATGGTTTTTGGCCGCTAGCGGCGAAAATCGCGCGGTTTTTGGCCGGTAGCGGAGAAAATCGCACGATTTTTGGCCGCTAGCGGCGAAATTTGCACGATTTTTGGCCGCTAGCGGCTTAAATCGCGCGATTTTTGGCCGGTAGCGGCTTAAATCGCGCGATTTTTGCCCGCAAGCTGTAAAAATCGCACGGTTTTTGGCCGCTAGCGGCGAAAATCGCATGGTTTTTGGCCGCTTGCGGCGAAAATTGTGCTATTTTTGGCCGGAAGCGGCGAAAATCGCGATTTTTGCCCGCCTGCTGCGAAAATCGCATGGTTTTTGGCCGCTAACGGCGAAAATCGCGCGGTTTTTGGCCGGTAGCGGCAAAAATCGTGCTATTTTTGCCCGCCAGCTGCAAAAATCGCATAGTTTCTGGCCGCTAGCGTCGAAAATTGTGCGATTTTTGGCCGCTAGCGGCGAAATTTGCACGATTTTTGGCCGCTAGCGGCGAAATTTGCACGATTTTTGGCCGCTAGAGGCGAAATTTGCACTATTTTTGGCCGCTAGCGGCGAAAATCGCGCTATTTTTGGCCGCTAGCGGCGAAAATCGCGCTATTTTTGGCCGGTAGCGGCGAAAATCGCGATTTTTGTCCGCCAGCTGCGAAAATTCCATGGTTTTTGGCCGCTAGCGGCGAAAATCGCGCTATTTTTGCCCGCCAGCTGCAAAAATCGCATAGTTTCTGGCCGCTAGCGGCGAAAAAAGCCCCTTTTTTGGCTGCTAAAGGCGAAAATCGGTAGATTGTTGGCAGGTAGCGTCGAAATTCGCGCGATTTTTGCCAGATAGATGCAAAAATCGCATGGTTTCTGGCCGCTAGCGTCGAAAATAGCGCGGTTTTCGGCCGTTAGCGGCAAAAATCGCCCGATTTTTGGCCGCTAGCGGCGAAAATCGCGCTATTTTTGGCCGCTAGCGGCGAAAATCGCGCTATTTTTGGCCGGTAGCGGCGAAAATCGCGATTTTTGTCCGCCAGCTGCGAAAATTCCATGGTTTTTGGCCGCTAGCGGCGAAAATCGCGCTATTTTTGCCCGCCAGCTGCAAAAATCGCATAGTTTCTGGCCGCTAGCGGCGAAAATCGCGCGATTTTTGGCCGCTAGCGGCGAAATTTCCACGATTTTGGCCGCTAGAGGTGAAATTTGCACTATTTTTGGCCGCTAGCGGCTTAAATCGCACGATTTTTTGCCGCAAGCTGTAAAAATCGCACGGTTTTTGGCCGTTAGCGGCGAAAATCACGCGATTTTTGCCCGCCAGCTGCGAAAATCGCATGGTTTTTGGCAGCTAGCGGCGGAAATCGCGCGGTTTTTGGCAGCTAGCGGCGGAAATCGCGCGGTTTTTGGCAGGTAGCGGCGGAAATCGCGCGGTTTTTGGCAGGTAGCGGCGGAAATCGCGCGATTTTTGCCCGCCAGCTGCAAAAATCGCATGGTTTCTGGCCGCTAGCGTCGAAAATAGCACGGTTTTCGGCCGTTAGCGGCAAAAATCGCCCGATTTTTGGCCGCTAGCGGCGAAAATCGCACGGTTTTTGGCCGCTAGCGGCGAAAATCGCGCTATTTTTTACCGCTAGCGGCGAAAATCGCGCTATTTTTGGCAGGTAGCTGCGAAAATCGCGATTTTTGCCCGCCAGCTGCGAAAATCGCGTGGTTTTTGCCCGCTAGCGGCAAAAATCGCGCGGTTTTTGGCCAGTAGCGGCGAAAATCGCGCTATTTTTGCCTGCCAGCTGCAAAAATCGCATAGTTTCTGGCCGCTAGCGGCTTAAATCGCGCGATTTTTGCCCGCAAGCTGTAAAAATCGCACGGTTTTTGGCCGTTAGCGGCGAAAATCACGCGGTTTTTGGCCGGTAGCGGCGAAAATCACGCGATTTTTGCCCGCAAGCTGTAAAAATCGCACGGTTTTTGGCCGTTAACGGCAAAAATCACGCGGTTTTTGGCCGGTAGCGGCGAAAATCACGCGATTTTTGCCCGCTAGCTGCGAAAATCGCATGGTTTTTGGCAGCTAGCGGCGAAAACCGCGCTATTTTTGGCCGGTAGCGGCGAAAATCGCGATTTTTACCCGCCAGCTGCGAAGATCGCATGGTTTTTGGCCGCTAGCGGCTTAAATCGCGCGATTGTTGCCCGCTAGCTGCGAAAATCGCATGGTTTTTGGCAGCTAGCGGCGAAAACCGCGCTATTTTTGGCCGGTAGCGGCGAAAATCGCGATTTTTACCCGCCAGCTGCGAAAATCTCATGGTTTTTGGCCGCTAGCGGCGAAATTCGCGCCATTTTTTTGCCGGTAGTGGCGAAAATCGCGATTTTTGCCCGCCAGCTGCGAAGATCACATGGTTTTTGGCCGCTAGCGGCGAAAATCGCGCGGTTTTTGGCCAGTAGCGGCGAAAATCGCTATTTTTGCCCGCCAGCTGCAAAAACCGCATAGTTTCTGGCTGCTAGCGGCGAAAAAAGCACGATTTTTGGCCGCTAGCGGCGAAAATTGCATGGTTTCTGGCCGCTAGCGTCGAAAATAGCGCGGTTTTCGGCCGTTAGCGGCAAAAATCGCCCGATTTTTGGCTGCTAGCGGCGAAAATCGCACGGTTTTTGGCCGCTAGCAGCGAAAATCGCGCTATTTTTGGCCGGTAGCGGCAAAAATCGCGATTTTTGCCCGCCAGCTGCGAAAATCTCATGGTTTTTGGCCGCTAGCGGCGAAAATCGCGCTATTTTTGGCCGCTAGCGGCGAAAATCGTGATTTTTGCCCGCCAGCTGCGAAAATCGCATGGTTTTTGGCCGCTAGCGGCGAAAATCGCGCGGTTTTTGGCCGGTAGCGGCGAAAATCGTGATTTTTGCCCGCCAGCTGCAAAAATCGCATAGTTTCTGGCCGCTAGCGGCGAAAAAAAGCACGATTTTTGCCCGCAAGCTGTAAAAATCGCACGGTTTTTGGCCGTTAGCGGCGAAAATCACGCGGTTTTTGCCCGCCAGCTGCAAAAATCTCATGGTTTCTGGCCGCTAGCGTCGAAAATAGCACTGTTTTCGGCCGTTAGCGGCAAAAATCGCCCGATTTTTGGCCGCTAGCGGCGAAAATCGCGCTATTTTTGGCCGGAAGCGGCGAAAATCGCGATTTTTGCCCGCCTGCGAAAATCGCAGCTGGCGGGCAAAAGGTGCGGGAACGTAAGGAATTTAGTAAGAGTTACTTTAGAGGGAATTATTTAACATGTGGGAGAATGTGATTAGATGAGATTGTATTGTGGATTTACATAGTTTTTTTTTTTTTTACTTCCTCTTGACTGCTGGCCTCTTTAGTTATCTTATCCAGGGTTGTACATAGCCTTCCCGGTTTGGTGGCTTCTTTTGATAATTATTTAGTTAGCCAGGATTGTATGTATTATGTGAATAAAGACATGTTCGTTTATGCATAACTGGTAATATCCAATAGTTACGTGAATGAAGACAATTTTGCAATCTCAGAGGAGTTTTTAGACTAGATGTCATGTGTAAGGAAATGTGCCTTTAGAGAAAAGGTTTAATGCGAGGTAGTTTGAAACGTCTATAGCGATTGGTTTGATAATTTGACGTTGCATCCAAAATAATTGAAGAATTCGATCTGAAGAATTAATACTAAGTGGATATCCTTCAATATTGTATTGTATTCCCAAACCATCATACTTACGTCCACTCGTTACATACTCAAAGTCCCTCTTGCCCTAGCAGTCAAACACCAACTTTGGACACTTACCACAACAGTACGTGTTAACCTTTAATTCATATCTAATTCACATCATACATTTTATCGATGACAAGGCTTATATTTTCACTAAACTGCTAATTCTCCATACCTAACTCCATGTGTTCCCTACTAATCTATAACCATAGCGAAATACTGCCTATTCTTACATTGTTCATTACCTATAAACTATTCATTATTAACAAGATACTACTATCTAGTAGTCAATATATTTCTATATCATCAACATTCACTATAGATTATCTATACATTTCTATTAAAATGTCAAGACACATTCAAGGCTACAGTCCCTATGCATCTTTAACAATAACAATAACTACGGAACAGCAACATCACATGAAATCTTTTGCGGTGCTACAACAACTTTCAAATAATAGTGTTTACACGTCTTTGTCTAAAACATACCTATCAAATAAAATATAATAACTACCTCCATCCATATTCAAACACTTTTCAACTAAAAGCAAATATGAAATATTTACAAATGCTACACAGCCCCACACCTTGTAAGGTATGCCTACTCAATACGCAACTAACGACATTATATTTGCTACCTTTCAAAATTATCTTTCAGGAAATACGCAATTCATGTTGTCTATAAACTAAGAGCTTATCCAGTATGCCTACTCACAGAACCAACATTTTTCATTAAGTTATGTTTATTCAAAACATTCATGCGTGTGATCTTATTCTATCAATAAACTAGATTCTTAAAGCGTGTAGCAACCACAATTTTCATTTCATACTATCACATTCTATTTACTTTCAATCCTATCTGCACTCTTCAAGCTTAGTCCAAGTCTTTATACAATTTAATACATCTATATATCAAAGTTAAATAGTACGATAATATTTCCTTTTTTTTTATTAACATTTAATACATTCTTTTAAAGACATTGAAAACATTTAAGGTCCTTTGATTGTACATTTTACATCATACCTCAAACATTGTTTATGTTATTCATTATTAGTCCTACGCTGAACTATACTTTAACATCAATTTCAAACAATATTTAATTACCACTTATATTTTACCTTATGAACAATAAAAGCCAATATGTATGCTCCTGGATTCTACATATCCAAGCAACTTCTATATTGACATTACTTTCAATTCATTGTCATTAGCACAACAGGTGCTAAGATTTAACAAACCTCACCTAAACAATTCTATTTCACAAACGGTTATTTACCATTCTCAACTACATGACCTAAGTTTTCCTCCGCACATAATTATCAACACTAGCCACATTTTTTTTTTTACATATTTCTCACCAAGTGACGCCCTTACGAGTAACCTCACCGTAAACTATTTACCAAACACCCTACCTTCACTTTTCCAGCTCTGACAATTTTGTACACTTTAACAAACCATACTGATCCTCCAGTGTCACTTGCTGCACCACATTACCCGAATGAAACTCCACCGCTAGGTCGTTCTGCCGCTTATCCACGTGAAGCCCGTCAAACCTATTAAAACAATTATCAAGTTAATATACATAAAATATATGTTCCTACGGTGTTCATAACTCTTCTCACTATATTATGCATCGATCTATCCCTATCTTCATTATGCTATCCTCATTGGGGTTCAATCACTGCAAACCATTTCAACAATCAACCACCAAAAATCTGCTATCACATTAATAATGCTTTCAGACAACACTGCTCCCTTATTTAAATCTGGATATGCTACATATTAATTCCCTCTACACATTCTATCAATTACATTTACAAAAACGTTTTCTTAAATGGAAACCCATTATCTGAAAATCCCTGGACAGATGTAATAGGACCCATTATCAGCAAAATTATATTTCTTTTATATCCCAGGGTCAAACTTATTCTGTAAAAACACTGCAAATAAAGGAACCTACTCTATGAAACTAGTGATTTTAAAACCACGTCAAACTTGCATCATTCAAGAACCAAAAACTAACTATTTTCAGCTTCGTTCTTTCTTACACCGAGCTTTAAATTTAATTTTTCTACCGTTACCCCATCTTTATGTACTTTCTACAATATTGTGTTCATTCCTATCTTGTAGGCTACCCATATGCTGTATTGTCCCTACTAATTTCTTAAACATTCAACCCGTCATTGCAATTTAATCTCCTACCTGTCCTCTGGAATATACCTACAATTCTTTTTTTCTCTCGCATTGTAATTTTTTGCCTAGTATTAACCTACTTTCAATTTCTACATTAAGGACATGCCCAAAACACTACACTACGACCTTACAAGAATGTACATGTGGGAAAGCAAGCAAGTATTTATCATAAGAACAAATATAACTGCACAAGGCCTATTGGCCCATACGAGGCACCTATTCTATAACCACCCAATCCCACTCATACTTTTCCAACCCGCGCTTAAAACAATCGAGGGACACCACCACGTTACGCGGCAATTGGTGCCACAAATCAACAACCCTGTTACTGAACCAGTATTTACCCAAGTCTTTCCTAAATCTAAACTTATCCAATTTATACCCAATTTATATCAAGAGGCACCAAACCGGGAAGGCTATGTAATAAATGTAGGACAGTTTTACCCAATATACCTATATTATCCAAGATGAGTATCATTTCTATATCATATATCAATTTCATATCAATATCTACAGATTCATTATAGATCTGGATCATACATGAAAATGCCACCTATGATCACGTAAACCATAGGGCCCTTTGTTGCCTAAGCGATTTCAAGGATCCAGAAGCTTCTAGAAGGATCTTAGTTAATAAACTATTGCAATAATACATTCCCAGTAGAGATTAAATCTAATCTTACATTCAATAGTACTATCCAGTACTATGAATTACATATAGATTTTATTCTTATTATAATCAAACTATCAATCTTATGTCTACACATACAAAATACTCTATATTCATTGAAAGCTACCCCTCTCAGAGGGACGAGCCAAACTCTGGACTAAGTGACCTACGGGCCGCCAGAGGGCAGAACACGTGTTTACAGTAAACATTTCTCGGTTCCTAGCGAACATTTGCCTCAGGACACTTTATCCAATTATCGTTATCACTGATTACAACTGGGGACTACCTGGACAATATATCTACAAGGAAAATTTACTAGTAACCTAACTAAATAACTTTACAGTTTAGCACACGAGGTATCGCCATCTCCAACGCCACTTATCTAAAGTATTGCAACTGCAATTAAGGCCATAATTAGCATCGCTACTAAAATATACTGCAGAGTTCAGATATAAAATATCGTGCCTAACCTCTACAATAGTTATTCCGTCTGGCACACAGGCACTCGCCAGTCAGAAGAATATTTAATGTTTAGTGTATTAATTGGCCAATTATATGCTTGTATAACTAATATCCAATAAGTGTCATGTTATAGAGGCAACGCCTCATGTTTCACTAACTTAATGTACAACATGACAATCTACAACCCCAGGCAATCTAGGTTCACCGCCTCAAGTGTCCACAAGTCTGGGACGAGTTTCAGTCAGGTGACAACCTCAAATTTATATATCTATATAAAGTAACATTTTAACTTAACATTTGCTTTGTTACCTAAACTTCATAAATTCATCCATTTGATTTCAGTCTTTAGTACTTTAACTACATTTAATCATTAATATTATTCAATTTAAGTTTTATTTATAGTAAAATAATATTGCCTGTTGATAGTTATGGTGCTAGGCTGGACTATGTACACGTTTAAATACCTGCTTTTAATAGAACTTGTGTTCAGTCAGAACTATTGAAATATTATCCTTGTATAAATACAAGCCAATTCAAGATTTGCCTGCAGGTGGATTGTGGAACTTTACTTATCTATTCCCCCCCCCCCACCAGCCCCTTACAGCCTCATTAGGAAAAGCTAGGATTTACGACCCTACCTACAGACTAATTTTGCATGCAGTTTTCATTTTTAGTATAGTACAAGTCCCTAGGAGTTTTAATATAAAGTCCCTAGGTAGTTCTAAACCCCCCCCCAGTTTTCCCCCCACAGTAATTACTATGCTATGTATCCTCAATCATGTACCTTCTATTATATGGAAGTAATATTTTGTAACCGTCTAGCACTATTACTATTCTTTAATGCACAGGCATTTTTATTTTATAACTAATCAAAACTACTCACTTCTCACGATAATTGAAGTTTTCCTCGTCCATAAGGAATAGCTGCAAGCCTCTAGCAACATTATGCCGTAAGATTTTCCTTTATCCCAACTCCAGGCATGTGTATTCACGCACCGAGATTGTTCTTGCCGCACCTCGTTTCGTGTATCTGAAACATTCGTTATATTTAGTATAACGAGAATGAATGTTTATTCTAACTCATCTTAGCAACTCCAACACATATGCCATCAAAACTTTAAACTAATCAAACTACAACATTTTACTTACAATGTTACAAGATGTTCCACAGGATGGAGTGTCGAGTTGCCCGTGCCCTTCAATGACAATCTGCATTCTAGAGCCAAATACAAGCTGGGATACCTTAAGTGCAGGAAAGTGTTACAAGAACAATGGTGCCGCTTGAAGAGGCAACCGTTTCACGCAACTGAAAGAAAAATTACATCAGTTTGTGTCTTTGGGAAAAATGTACAGAGTCTTTCCCTGAAGGACTACTTTTGGCAACGGGGAGCATATTTTTCCTTAACAGACTGCAAAAACAAGTAACCGTCTGGGGTACTGTAGTGGTCCCCCGGAGATCTATACCCACACCGGTAGTTTAAGCAAAACCTTCGAAAATTCTTTTAAAATATTACCAATTTACGATCAAAGTCCATTTACACTACTCTGCTGCAACAATATGCTAAATAAGGCAAGTTAACGTAAATATTGAAGCTTTAACATTCTTTGTTATTACATAAAGGCTAAAGGTTAAAGGATTACATTCGTTTCAGTTTATTATTTAACTGAAAAGTTTCTATAACAACCCATTTCTTAACCTTACAGGCTAGGGTTATAGGTAACCTACACGTTTCTACATTACTTTCAAATTCAGAGCCTGCAAAGATTTTTCCTGGGGGGGGGGGGGGAGGGGGCCGAAAGGTTTAAGCCAAACCCAATACACAAGCATCAGTAATGACACTTGTACCATCACTGCTAAGACCAAGGTCATTTACTTTATTTCCTTACAAGTAACACTTTAACCGTCTACATTTAACGTTGTCCCAAGTAACGATTAATAGTACGTCCATTCCTATATTTTACATAAACACCTTTTTGAACTAAAGCAATCTACTGTGAGGGAAGTATCCGGAGACTAGCATAGATTTTTACTGTAGGCGCGTTTGTCAATCTTTCCACTGCCTTGTGTAGTACCCCCGACCCCCCCCCCCCCCACCGGGCCGGTACTTTTCACAACTAACAACCGGTTATTAATCCTTCAGGTGCAATGACAACAACATTTATTCACTTTTTACCGATAAAACAGAAATCATTAATACACTAACTTTTGAAATGCTAATCTAACCAAAGTACGATTAATATATACTTCACTTAGTTATATAATTAGCGTTGATGGTATTAACACCATTGATGAATATACAAAATATTAACACTGCTTTATAAGTCTACTTATTTACTACAAATACATTCGGCAAGTTTAAATTTGGTTCATTCATTATATTAACCGCTTTTCGGATTTTCCATTTTAAAATTTAACACTTAGCAACCAAATTTTACACTTAAATATCACAAAACTAAGGTAAACCAGACGTTAAGGGGTAACCTCTAGCATGATACATGTGGGGTAGAGGACCATCACAAGCCAGTGTGTTTCCTATAGTGCCACACGCAGCCATATGCTAACTTAACCTTGTATGTCACGCCAATTTTAATGCTTTTCCCCTCTATATACTTTTTCCAATATGGGGAACACGGGGATGTAACGCAGTAATGGGTTAAGGGAGGGGGGGGGGATGTAACGCAACAAGGACCTGGATCCTCGACATAAAACTAACCTTCAAGAGACGAAGTTGGAACTGGACACCACAAGTGAGGTAAGACACACTGACCTGCTGCTAGTCTCATCGTACCTTTTATACCCAGTAGCCAACCAACCAAGGCCGCTGATTGGTTGTCATTCACCCTAAAACTCACCCCATTGGTCAACATTTTGCGAGTCTGAAGTGTCAATTATCAATGGCCAACAGCCACTCCTTCACTTCCCCAAACACCAACGACTCTCTTAATGAACCAATAATCATCCCCACCTTAAATGTTTAAAGTTTTTATTTTCAATATCTTATTTCACAAACCAATTACAACATTCTGTTGTAAATGTTCAAACACAACAACAGGTACAACACACCAACATTTGCAATGGATTCGGCTGTGAATTAGCATTCGTCCGTCAGTCAACAACTGTTAATAACCTCTCGACAACTACAATATACACTACAATATATCCAATAACAGACTAAGAAACCCAACAACCCAAAGTTACCGACAAAACAATGGATTATGTTAAATATGTCCTTTCATTGACTTAACGTATTGCTCGTTCATGGCAAATTAAGTGATTTTAACTTATTGAAGTGTGTGAGTTCTAATAATTATATGCTTTAGAATAACTATTAACCTCCAGAATGACATTGTTCAAATTATTATTCTCAACAATTATCGTCCACTACCACCACCAGGTGGTGGTAGTGGACCCCATAAACATCGTGTGACTTGTTGTATATATCCATCCTGTTTGCAGTAGGCTACATGCTAAACATGAACTCGCTCCAAACATTCGCTTTTGCCATATACATTTACAAAACCCTGTTCTTAAATGCAAACCCTGATCTAAAACTCTTCCTTGACTGATGTAATACAACCCATAATCACCACACCACAAATAAATCTATCTTTAATATCCCCCCAGAGTCAAACTTAATCTGTGTAAACACTCTATGCAAATAAAGGGACCTAGTCTATGAAACTCACTCCCTAACAACTTGAAAAGCTGTCCAACTTTTGATTTTTTCAAAAATAAAACCATAAACTACCAAACTTCATCTTCATAGTTTACTACCTAGTACTTTAAACTCGCACTATATCTTGTGCTACCCAATCCTCCAATATATGTCCCAAAGCCGTACGTCTTCACTATTGTAATCATGGCTATCAACTTATATCATGGTTGTTATATTGAACACATATTTTACTACATTATACATTGAATTATTCCTCAAATTATGCTACAATGTACCAGTTGATAACCTTCACATTTTACTTTAATGTGCTTACTAATCTTTATCAAATTTTCTTACAATGTACCTGTTAATATTTTTCAATTTTCCGAGATTTTACCTACTTAACATTATGTGTGTATACCTAATTTTTTTATTAAAAAATTACAAATAAATTTTGATTAAGCACCTGCCCGAAACGCTATGCGTATAAGTGGCTTTACAAGAATGTAAAAACATCAATGCTCTGTACTTAAACCCAATATACCTTTTTGTATCTATATATAAATAAATAAATAAATATTTTGTTAACTTTTCAGTACAGAATAAGTTATTTTAGTAAAGACTGTATTCATCCATCAACACCTATCATCTTCGTTCACGACTTCACTACAATCTTAACTATAAAGCCTTAAAATCATCCAAATCCAAAGTACTAAACTAAGTAGCCATAGGTGGTACCTATGTATACCATATGCGTACTATAAATCTTAATTATTATTTTTATTATTATTATTTATTATCAATTATTTACCTTTGCCTCAAGTCAACTACATTTTCTTCATTTTCTCTGAATATTGCTGTCCTCCTCGTGCTCAGAGGCAATCAGAGATCGTAAGCAATTCCCGCCTTACGAGCAAATGATTTACCTAAATTTGGAGCAGTCCAACAAGGTCTCTGTGCCGTCCTCTGTATTCCACAAGGCCTAATTACAGACCATTCCCAGGATGCACGAACTGCATAATAAATTATGCAGTAAATTGATTGCTTTGGTAATTATTAATGATTATTTTTTCACATATATTACCCAATATCTATCAGCTGTTTGAGGGTGGGGTGCAGAGTACATTATCTGAAAGGAAATGTGCCCATCTATTTCTGTCCCGTCCGGGATTCGATCCCAGAATTCTCGATTGTGCGTTGACAACGAATCCGTCTGTATTACCGGAATCCTAGCACAGCAAAGGGGGGGGGCACGTGGTGGTACAGAGTACATGTGCTGGTATTACTGTACAATATACCCATTCTGTGGGTGTTATGGTCCCCCTATTCCCATTTCGTGGGGGGTTGTGGACCCCCCATACCCATCCTGTAAACGGTAGTAGTCCCCATACCCATTCTGTGCTTGCTAGTGTAGTGTGCCCCATCATATACGTTTTCTATAATGCATAATGTACGATCCATTTTCTTTATTTTGTATATAGCGTATTCTATTGTATATATTATAATTTGACGCCAATTGAAATATTTACAGATAATAATTCATACAATAATTATTATAATTTACTAAGAACAACCAACATTTCTCAGAACTATACTACGAACCTTCAAGAGGATATAGCTGATCCATAATATTTGAAAAGGATAACAAAATATTACGCGAATTTCCAACCCGTCCTCGACTCGAGTCCATTACATCCAGCGGTCGACCCCACAGACGCATTCGCCAATTTTAACATGCTGTTCATTCAAAATAGTAATTTTCTCAAATATAAATTAATATTATAACATATTAGCATATTTAGCCATTGGTTAGGTAGGGAGTTTAGGTTGTGTTGGCGATTATTTGTATACTAGTATGTGGATGAAGCATTTATTTGACCCCAGGGTCAAACTTAATCTGTGTAAACACTCTATGCAAATTAAGGGACCTAGTCTATGGAACTCACTCCCTAGTGAATTGAAAAACTGTACAACTTTTGCCTTATTTAAAGCAAAACCAAAAAGTACCTATTTTCATCTTCTTAGTTTCCTACACTGAGCTTTAAATTTGCTCTGTACCTAGTGTTACCCAATCTCCTAATTTTTATTTAGTATCAAACAGCCTTATCATTGTGTTCATTGCTGTCTTCTTTTATGTGCTAGCCATATGCTGTATTGTGACTACCAATTTTTGTGAACTACCATTCAAGCTGTCATTGCAATCAATCTTATATTGTTTCTGCTGTATTGTGCCTACCAATTTTTGTCAACTACCATTCAAGCTGTCATTGCAATCAATCTTAGCTACCTATGTGCTTTAATATACTGTACCTACAATTTTATCTCATCTTCTTTTTTTCATTCCATGTAACTGTTATCATTTTTTTTTGTCTATAAATTTTGCAAGTATTTACCTACTTAAAATTCCCTTAGATTAAGGACCTGCCCGAAACGCTGCGCGTACTAGTGGCTTTACAAGACTGTAATTACCATATTATGTATCCTCACATTCCCAATGTACCTTCTTGTATATGCATAAATAAATAAATAAATAAATTTACAGAGTTCTGGGTCGAACAAAATTCATCAGCAAAACACTTGTTCGAGAAGACTAGTCTAGTGCCCTTAAGGAGATACCAACTTTAATTTACAAAAAAGCCTCCAGATCTTTAGCCCCTGCTATTGCATTGCTCTTTAACAAGTCACTTGAACTTTAAACCTTTCCAGATATTCTAAAAAAACCGAGAGTAACCCCTGTCCACAAATGTGGTGATCTCACTGATGTTAACAACTACAGACATATATCAATCCTGCCAAACTTGTCAAAAATATTTGAAAAACTATTCTACAAGCAGCTTTACTCTTATATATATTATATATATATTCCAAACACAATATACTTAGCTCTTGTCGATATGGCTTCAGACCCAAAAAACCACTAACGATGCACTTATTAGTATGATTAACTTGATACATGCAGCTCTTAATAAAAATGAGTTCCCTCTCAGGTTATTTGTGGACCTGCGTAAGGCTTTTGACACTGTCAACCACCAAAACCGTCTTCTTAAATTACATCATTATGGGGTCAGAGGTTACTTCCTGCAATACCTCAAATCTTACCTTACTGACAGCCTCCAGTATGTTTCTGTGAATAATTCAATTTCTCCCATCCTACCCATCAACATTGGTGTTCCTCAGGGCAGCATACTTCGCCCTCTCCTCTTTCTCATCTACATTAATGACCTTCCAAATGCCTCCCAACATCTCAAACCAATTCTATTTGCTGATGACACAACCTTCATTTATTCCAGTCCTGACCTCCTTGCTCTTAAAGGCACAGTGAATACTGAGCTAAATAAAGTCCATCTTTGGCTAACTGCCAACAAACTCACCCTCAACATTGACAAAACTTTCTGTATCTTGTTTGGCAACAAATCCTCAAATCAAATAAATCTCAGGATAAATAATACCCAAATTTGTAACAAAATTAATGGCAAATTCCTTGCCGTTCTCATTGACCACAAACTAAATTTCCAGGGACACATTCTAAATTCACTACCTAATCTTTGCCCGAAACGCATTGCGTATTAGTGGCTTTAGGCATTGTATGTACTAGCTCTATCTATATATCAATCCATTAATGTAACATCACTTGTATGTATATACCTTACCTGAATAAACATCTGAATCTGAATCTGAAATATATAACAAAACTTTCAAAAAACTGTTGGCATTCTAAGATCAGATATTATGTACCTCGCCCTGCCTTCCTGATGCTCTATTACTCTCTCATCTATCCTTATCTCAACTATGGTATTTGTGCTTGGGGTTCTACTACCCAAAATCATTTACGTCCTCTAATTAATCAACACAAAGCTGCTATTAGGACAATATCCAACTCTGGCCCCAGATATCACTCGGTACCCCTACTCAAATCTCTGAATATGTTAGATATTAAGTCACTGCGCATCCTCTCATGTGTATTATATATATATATATATATATATATATATATATATATATATATATATATATATGCGAACAAGCCTGAATGGTCCCCAGGACATATGCAACTGAAAACTCACACCCCAGAAGTGACTCGAACCCATACTCCCAGAAGCAACGCATCTGGTATGTACAAGACGCCTTAATCCACTTGACCATCACGACCGGACAAAATGAGGTGATAGCCGGATAGTTATCTTGGGCATAGCATTTTACCAAATCACCTCATTCTTTGGGGCAACACGTGAGGAACACAAATGCGAACAAGCCTGAATGGTCCCCAGGACATATGCAACTGAAAACTCACACCCCAGAAGTGACTCGAACCCATACTCCCAGAAGCAACGCATCTGGTATGTACAAGACGCCTTAATCCACTTGACCATCACGACCGGACAAAATGAGGTGATAGCCGAGGCTATTTGAACCACCCCACCGCCGGCACTCGGATAGTTATCTTGGGCATAGCATTTATCACCTCATTCTTTGGGGCAACACGTGAGGAACACAAATGCGAACAAGCCTGAATGGTCCCCAGGACATATGCAACTGAAAACTCACACCCCAGAAGTGACTCGAACCCATACTCCCAGAAGCAACGCATCTGGTATGTACAAGACGCCTTAATCCACTTGACCATCACGACCGGACAAAATGAGGTGATAGCCGAGGCTATTTGAACCACCCCACCGCCGGCACTCGGATAGTTATCTTGGGCATAGCATTTTACCAAATCACCTCATTCTTTGGGGCAACACGTGAGGAACACAAATGCGAACAAGCCTGAATGGTCCCCAGGACATATGCAACTGAAAACTCACACCCCAGAAGTGACTCGAACCCATACTCCCAGAAGCAACGCATCTGGTATGTACAAGACGCCTTAATCCACTTGACCATCACGACCGGACAAAATGTCCTGGGGACCATTCAGGCTTGTTCGCATTTGTGTTCCTCACGTGTTGCCCCAAAGAATGAGGTGATTTGGTAAAATGCTATGCCCAAGATAACTATCCGAGTGCCGGCGGTGGGGTGGTTCAAATAGCCTCGGCTATCACCTCATTTTGTCCAGTCGTGATGGTCAAGTGGATTAAGGCGTCTTGTACATACCAGATGCGTTGCTTCTGGGAGTATGGGTTCGAGTCACTTCTGGGGTGTGAGTTTTCAGTTGCATATGTCCTGGGGACCATTCAGGCTTGTTCGCATTTGTGTTCCTCACGTGTTGCCCCAAAGAATGAGGTGATTTGGTAAAATGCTATGCCCAAGATAACTATCCGAGTGCCGGCGGTGGGGTGGTTCAAATAGCCTCGGCTATCACCTCATTTTGTCCGGTCGTGATGGTCAAGTGGATTAAGGCGTCTTGTACATACCAGATGCGTTGCTTCTGGGAGTATGGGTTCGAGTCACTTCTGGGGTGTGAGTTTTCAGTTGCATATGTCCTGGGGACCATTCAGGCTTGTTCGCATTTGTGTTCCTCACGTGTTGCCCCAAAGAATGAGGTGATTTGGTAAAATGCTATGCCCAAGATAACTATCCGAGTGCCGGCGGTGGGGTGGTTCAAATAGCCTCGGCTATCACCTCATTTTGTCCGGTCGTGATGGTCAAGTGGATTAAGGCGTCTTGTACATACCAGATGCGTAGTATGGGTTCGAGTCACTTCTGGGGTGTGAGTTTTCAGTTGCATATGTCCTGGGGACCATTCAGGCTTGTTCGCATTTGTGTTCCTCACGTGTTGCCCCAAAGAATGAGGTGATTTGGTAAAATGCTATGCCCAAGATAACTATATCAAATAGCCTCGGCTATCACCTCATTTTGTCCGGTCGTATATATTAATACATATGCGTTGCTTCTGGGATATCGAGTCATATATATATATATATATATATATATAAAACGCTGAACTGTAATGCCAATCCTGACCTTAAAAGCTTCATTGAAGGTTGTAACAGAATCCATGTCCACCACACCAGAAACAAATACCTTTATGATATTCCAAGAGTTCGACTTAATCAAATTAGAAATGCTTTACAAATCAAGGGACCCACAATGTACAATGACCTTCCCAATCATGTTAAAGACTGTGCCTCTCTCAACCAGTTTAAGATAAAAACTAAGCACTACCTAATTAACTCCCTGTAACCTACCTTACACCTTTAATGTCAACCTATGTCTGTTATTTTTAAACAATGCTGTTTGTCGACCAATTTGTATTTTTGCATTTTTCTGCCATGTTCCCCCCTTTTTTATTTTTATATTTTCTCTACACACTTTATACTTTAATCTCAATTGGTATTAAGTTTTAGCCTTTTGTGTTTTTCCTGCCCGAAACGCTTTGCGTAATAGTGGCTTTAGCCATTGTATGTACTAGCTCTATCTATAAATTCATCAATTTTTGTATCACTCCTTGTATGTATGTATTTTACCTAAATAAACATTTGAATTTGAAGAGTTCAAACGTTATCAGTTATAAGTAAACCATTTTTTATTTATAAACAAATGTGGGTACATGAAATGGACTTCGGTCTTTATTTATGAGGCCGGGCCGAAACATTTAACCTGCTTAATTTAAGGAGAAACAATCTGATTTAACCATAATCCAGGATATAAAACAAAACAAGTAATGAAGCTGTACATTTAATGTAAGGTCTGTGCTATGGGTACATACAGCAAGGTCAGATTCACAACTTAGGAGTCCAGTCATGATGATGCTCACCTCTCAACTCCTTTGGACTTGAAGACCAATTCTCAAACCTTATATGACATTCACAAAATATTTAACCAAAAAATGAATAGTATTGAATTTATTTGAAAGAGCTCTTGACAAGACATAATGCACAGTAGATAAATTAACAATAATAAATTTATTCCCTCATTCAACTTCCTTGTTAAATAATCAGAGGGGCTTCAATTTAAGTACTTCCCCATTGTCATATTAGGTTAGAAAATTTGTTACAAATTATTTATATATATATTTTGATGCTAAGAATGTCACCATTAACGAGTTTGGGGGGTAAGCAGTATCTGACGCCGACACCTGTAAACTTATGCGAGAAATTTTGACTAGAAGCATTAACGGCATCTGTGATGGAGAGTAGTGACGCCCCATGGTGACAGTCATAACTACAACAGCAGTTTTGACCCTTAGTGAAGACTAATAAGGTTTATACCAATAATTCTTTTCACTCAAAGACTATAAACCCTATTCAAGTGAGTTATCAGAAAAGCCATCAATTTTGTCAAGTGAAATTAGATATCAATGAGTATCATGTGATGTTTCAACAAAGCATTGCTTAATTTTATTTGAAAATTGAAGCCGGTCTCTTGAAACTGCAATAAAGTGCAGGAACTAAATGTGATGTCTGAAGAGTAATTTGGAGTCTTCATTGGGATTTCCAAAAAGCTGAGAGCCCTTTCACCTTCAGAGAAAATGAGGACATAAAAAATCACAGCTAATGTCATAGATCAGCAATTTTGACATTCTTGGCACTAAGGTTTAGAATTATAATCATAATAATTTGAAATAAAATCAACTATATTTAGAAGTTAACCTAAAAAATCAATGTTGCTGACCTGAACACAATATAAAAATATTTAAGAAATTTAAATATTTAATGTTATAACTTAGCTATAAAATATTTTTTTATAGTTTTGGAATGTAATGTAAGAAGACTACAAGGAAACCTAAAAAATAATATAAAAATAAGCTATAATGAAATTCATAGCTTAAGTAATCCTCACCATGGGACATAAAGAGTAATGGTGAACTTTGCCAGAGACCGATCAGCCCAGTACAATGATTAGCCAACACTATACTAATTATAACAATATAAACAGCTTTACCATTCAAAACTATATGCTCAAACCATTGGCAGTTTTCAGAGGGGGGGAACAACTTAAGAGTTCATGTATCACCTTAACACGGAATATTTTGCAATACTTATCTTTGGTATGATTTTGAGAAAAATAAATTATGTATGTTATCTAAAAAAAAAAATTTAATATATGCATTGGCAGAGTATGACAGACTGAATAATTAGGATTTTATTTATAACTTGAATACTGCACCATTGTTTCCCTATATGATGACTTACAAATGAGATCCAAGGCTCGCTACCTCAAGATTCCTAACAAATCGCATATAGGCATAAGAATTAAGGCTGGGATGAAATGCCAAGTTTGACCGAAGTTCCTGCTTGTCAGTACATACTTATGCTAAGTCTAGTAAAGAGTTCCATCATTGGATATCAGGGAATTGATTTCCATTTAGATATGCAAGTGGTCATCTTCAAACCCATTAGATCATCAATTATAGCTCCCCTATTGTTTTCTTATAGAATCCTAACCAATGGTAACTAAGATTAGGTAATGAACAGTAATTTATATGAATCATCAAATATTGTTCTTATATTTTAAATAATCTGAAATTCCCCTACACATGCTTATAGCACTGTAAGATTTTTTTTAAATTTTATGTATATTTTTAAAAATTACAAATTTGTATCTAAACAACTTATTAAACAATGTAACATTTTAATTTCTTCACGAGCACTGTGAAGCATTTCTTAACGTAAATTTCACCATGTGAAGCATGAAACAGAAACAATGCCTGTCAGAACCAATGTGTTATACAGTTCAGTGTTCATATTAATACAATTATATTTGTGTATGTTTATTATCATAAGCTTTCATGGCAAATATTCATAAACAAAAACAATTTGACTGTAGGGCAAACACACACACACACACACACAAACACTGTGGGGTGTTGTAATAAGTGTAGCAATATAGATCGGGATGATGGCGAGGGGGTCATCTGAATAATGACAACATTCAACAATCATGGAGATATGTGAATCTCTGGTCTGACTTGGCATTCCCTGCAAACATCATAACTCTGGCTTGCCTCTCATTCTCACATTTTCAATAAAAGCTAAACATAGAAACTAAAGTGTACCTTATAGTTCATGTTATAAACAATCTCACATTCTTAGCCTACTAGCAAGTGCTTCGTATAAGAAAAACCCACAGGAAATACTATACTGCGTAGCCTTGAGTAAAGTCCGGAAAGAGTTAAATAGCATCTAATGACAACTAACAAAAATAGTATGAGTATTGCGATTAAACATCTGGCTGAATTGACAACCTGTGGGTTTTCTCAATAGATTATATCTCAGATGTGCTGTTATGTATGATCTCACAACGAACGTGGGACCATTAATGTTGGCAGTAACTTGTATCATCAAAATTCGCAAGAAATTGTCCTAACAGCTCATCCTTGAGTTTTAAAATACCCATGAAGACGCACCACAAAATAGATACTATTGTCGTTAACTTAGTATTTGGATAAAGAGCAATCCATCTTCATGAATACCTCAATTGTAATTAGAACATGGCTAAGGAATTTGGGCACCTAGACTTTGCTTGGGGGATCTTTATCTTTTGGTCCCCCCCAAAAGGAATCAAAACGAGTGCGAGCTTTATCAAGTGCATCAGATACCGTCCTACCGGAAGACGGAGAAACAAGAGATGGAGGCTTTGACTCCTGAACTTCACCAACGGTTTGGGACTGAGGGTAGTAAGGGGCATCAGGTGCCTCGAGTACACGATATGGTGAGCCTTTTGGCCTTGAAGGAGGATCAATAGGCGCTTCAAGAACCCTATATGGTGATGGTTTGATTGGAGCCTCTGGTTTTGTGGGAGACTGGTCAGGAAGATCCTTGATATCTGATGGTGCTTCTGGGGCTTCTAACACATGATAACCTCCACTCTTTAACTGCTGAGGCTCCTTTGGAGCTTCAAGAACCTTGTATGTGCCGGATTTAGGAGAATTAGTAACAGGTATGGAGGGCTGGTCAAACATAAAAGAAGGATCATCAAGGCACCTTAGATTAGTGCCAGGGACGTTACGGACAGTGGCGGGCTTTGATTCAGGAGCACACACATCTTTGACTGGATCAGAAGACGGAAGGGGCACTTCGGGCTTGGTAGGAGATGGTGTTCCTGAGCTCTTGCCATTCATACCATTGAGGGAGCCAAACATGGACATTGTCATACAGTCAACCGCACCTGTAAGAACCACCACCCATGCAGTCAGATCTAGTTACAGTATATGAAAAGTGCAATTAGAAATACAGAAAAGTGCTTAAGTTACCAAAATAACCCTTCAAAATCTATTTTACCCAAAATTAAGAAAATCCAGAAAAGTTGAAATGTGCAAACTAAATATATTCTCTACTCATAAAAGTGTGCCTCAGAATCTAATGCATTTACAGAACTGAAGAATTGGAAAGTTGAGAATTCATGCCATTGACAGTTTGAGGACTATTTAACTTATCTATAGATGTACCATTTACAGAATGGAGACCATTAGTAGTCTCGGTAGAAAAAACTAGTCCACTATTTTCAGAAACATTTTGTTCAAGTAAATTGCTCTCATTAACATAATCAATATCAAAAGGGTTGTTGCTCCTGTTTAACACTCCTCCATTAACTCCTGGAGTATTGTAATTTAGGAGATTACTGCTGCTCTCCTCATTGAGCTTGTAAAACTTAGTTTGATAGTCAATGTCAATTGGGGAAGATACCCCAAAACATTCACTTTCAGTCTTAGAACTTGCAGCATCAGTCTGTGATTTTAAACTATCATGATGAAATGGCGCAACAGTTACCTCGGATTTACTCTCGGGAAAAGAAAATTGTTTGAAAGACAGCGAGGTTCTTTCCGTTTGGATAGGTTCACCGGGAAATTGAGAGGTATTCTCAAACAGTGAAGGACCTGTAATCTTCACTTGATAACTGTCCTGAAAACTGCTTTGTGATGCGAAAGGAAAGTCAGTGTCTGCATTTTGTGTATCCTTGTAATTATTTGTTTCTACAGTGAGGGTATTTCCTTCAAATGTTGATGAATCTGATAAATTCTGAATTTGATCAGGCATGTCATGTAACCTATCATGCATATCTGGTTCAATATCAAACATCATAGCATCTGAAAGTCTCTCTGATGGGCTATTCTTTTCAACTGCATCAAACTGCATACCATACAAAGCGACCTCGGTTGATTTAACTTTATTTTTATATGTTGGAGAGCCAGCATCACTTCCTTGAAAATCAGAAAGATTTTCTGACTCATCATTTTTATAATGGGAATTATTCTCATTTATCTCTCCAAATTCAAAGACATGAAAGTCTGACTCACTTGTTGCATGAACACTGATGGGAGATAATGTAGGACTTCTCATTTGAGCTACTAATTCAACAGGCTCTACTGGAAAAGTACTTGAGGAGATATGCGAAACAGCAGACCCTGGAATTACTGCGATGTCATCATCAACATTGTCCGTAAATGGATTATATCCTTTGAGCTCTGGTTCACTTAAAGAGTCGGAGGCATCTTGATGACTCTTAAAATGACTCTCAGTTAAAATGTGCTCAAAGGTTTTGTTTGATGATAATGATGATGATCTAGAAAAAGATGAGGGATTCCCTTCTTCGAGAAGATCCAAGTTGTTTTTAAGATCTTCAGCTTTCAAATGGCCATCAAATTCAAAAGCCTGAGCAGATGCAAGTTTTGTGGGAAATAACGATGAATCATCATCTGGGATACTGTCATAGTTAAAGGTGTTGTCAACAGTTTTTGGTTCTGTTGAAGAATATAACAATTCTGAATTTACAGATTCACTCTGAGACTCCAGACTATCATATTGATTCTTTGGTAGACTCATAAGATGATGTCCTGGAGTACTTCCTACATAATTTTCCAAGTCATTCTCAATTTTTTGAGAACTCACATTTCTATGCTCCCCTTCAAATTCTAAAGGTTCTCTCTCTTTGCCAAAATAGTTTTCTGAATCTTGAGTTTTCAATGAATCAGTTTCTTTGTTTTCTCTGTCCCCTGAAAGTACAAAATCTACAGCACTATCAGTTTCATTTTCAAAAACGAATGATCCTTCTGGATTTTCCGGTCTGTGATGAAGTAAAGTCAGCATATGGCCATCATCTGATTCAGTTTCAACTTCGTTAAATTCAAAGGTCTTCTTTTCTTCTAGCATTTCAGGCGAGGATATAGGTGCCTCTATTTCAATGTACTCTGTATGAAGCTCATTTGATGAGTATTGCGATTAAACATCTGGCTGAATTGACAACCTGTGGGTTTTCTCAATAGATTATATCTCAGATGTGCTGTTATGTATGATCTCACAACGAACGTGGGACCATTAATGTTGGCAGTAACTTGTATCATCAAAATTCGCAAGAAATTGTCCTAACAGCTCATCCTTGAGTTTTAAAATACCCATGAAGACGCACCACAAAATAGATACTATTGTCGTTAACTTAGTATTTGGATAAAGAGCAATCCATCTTCATGAATACCTCAATTGTAATTAGAACATGGCTAAGGAATTTGGGCACCTAGACTTTGCTTGGGGGATCTTTATCTTTTGGTCCCCCCCAAAAGGAATCAAAACGAGTGCGAGCTTTATCAAGTGCATCAGATACCGTCCTACCGGAAGACGGAGAAACAAGAGATGGAGGCTTTGACTCCTGAACTTCACCAACGGTTTGGGACTGAGGGTAGTAAGGGGCATCAGGTGCCTCGAGTACACGATATGGTGAGCCTTTTGGCCTTGAAGGAGGATCAATAGGCGCTTCAAGAACCCTATATGGTGATGGTTTGATTGGAGCCTCTGGTTTTGTGGGAGACTGGTCAGGAAGATCCTTGATATCTGATGGTGCTTCTGGGGCTTCTAACACATGATAACCTCCACTCTTTAACTGCTGAGGCTCCTTTGGAGCTTCAAGAACCTTGTATGTGCCGGATTTAGGAGAATTAGTAACAGGTATGGAGGGCTGGTCAAACATAAAAGAAGGATCATCAAGGCACCTTAGATTAGTGCCAGGGACGTTACGGACAGTGGCGGGCTTTGATTCAGGAGCACACACATCTTTGACTGGATCAGAAGACGGAAGGGGCACTTCGGGCTTGGTAGGAGATGGTGTTCCTGAGCTCTTGCCATTCATACCATTGAGGGAGCCAAACATGGACATTGTCATACAGTCAACCGCACCTGTAAGAACCACCACCCATGCAGTCAGATCTAGTTACAGTATATGAAAAGTGCAATTAGAAATACAGAAAAGTGCTTAAGTTACCAAAATAACCCTTCAAAATCTATTTTACCCAAAATTAAGAAAATCCAGAAAAGTTGAAATGTGCAAACTAAATATATTCTCTACTCATAAAAGTGTGCCTCAGAATCTAATGCATTTACAGAACTGAAGAATTGGAAAGTTGAGAATTCATGCCATTGACAGTTTGAGGACTATTTAACTTATCTATAGATGCACCATTTACAGAATGGAGACCATTAGTAGTCTCGGTAGAAAAAACTAGTCCACTATTTTCAGAAACATTTTGTTCAAGTAAATTGCTCTCATTAACATAATCAATATCAAAAGGGTTGTTGCTCCTGTTTAACACTCCTCCATTAACTCCTGGAGTATTGTAATTTAGGAGATTACTGCTGCTCTCCTCATTGAGCTTGTAAAACTTAGTTTGATAGTCAATGTCAATTGGGGAAGATACCCCAAAACATTCACTTTCAGTCTTAGAACTTGCAGCATCAGTCTGTGATTTTAAACTATCATGATGAAATGGCGCAACAGTTACCTCGGATTTACTCTCGGGAAAAGAAAATTGTTTGAAAGACAGCGAGGTTCTTTCCGTTTGGATAGGTTCACCGGGAAATTGAGAGGTATTCTCAAACAGTGAAGGACCTGTAATCTTCACTTGATAACTGTCCTGAAAACTGCTTTGTGATGCGAAAGGAAAGTCAGTGTCTGCATTTTGTGTATCCTTGTAATTATTTGTTTCTACAGTGAGGGTATTTCCTTCAAATGTTGATGAATCTGATAAATTCTGAATTTGATCAGGCATGTCATGTAACCTATCATGCATATCTGGTTCAATATCAAACATCATAGCATCTGAAAGTCTCTCTGATGTGCTATTCTTTTCAACTGCATCAAACTGCATACCATACAAAGCGACCTCGGTTGATTTAACTTTATTTTTATATGTTGGAGAGCCAGCATCACTTCCTTGAAAATCAGAAAGATTTTCTGACTCATCATTTTTATAATGGGAATTATTCTCATTTATCTCTCCAAATTCAAAGACATGAAAGTCTGACTCACTTGTTGCATGAACACTGATGGGAGATAATGTAGGACTTCTCATTTGAGCTACTAATTCAACAGGCTCTACTGGAAAAGTACTTGAGGAGATATGCGAAACAGCAGACCCTGGAATTACTGCGATGTCATCATCAACATTGTCCGTAAATGGATTATATCCTTTGAGCTCTGGTTCACTTAAAGAGTCGGAGGCATCTTGATGACTCTTAAAATGACTCTCAGTTAAAATGTGCTCAAAGGTTTTGTTTGATGATAATGATGATGATCTAGAAAAAGATGAGGGATTCCCTTCTTCGAGAAGATCCAAGTTGTTTTTAAGATCTTCAGCTTTCAAATGGCCATCAAATTCAAAAGCCTGAGCAGATGCAAGTTTTGTGGGAAATAACGATGAATCATCATCTGGGATACTGTCATAGTTAAAGGTGTTGTCAACAGTTTTTGGTTCTGTTGAAGAATATAACAATTCTGAATTTACAGATTCACTCTGAGACTCCAGACTATCATATTGATTCTTTGGTAGACTCATAAGATGATGTCCTGGAGTACTTCCTACATAATTTTCCAAGTCATTCTCAATTTTTTGAGAACTCACATTTCTATGCTCCCCTTCAAATTCTAAAGGTTCTCTCTCTTTGCCAAAATAGTTTTCTGAATCTTGAGTTTTCAATGAATCAGTTTCTTTGTTTTCTCTGTCCCCTGAAAGTACAAAATCTACAGCACTATCAGTTTCATTTTCAAAAACGAATGATCCTTCTGGATTTTCCGGTCTGTGATGAAGTAAAGTCAGCATATGGCCATCATCTGATTCAGTTTCAACTTCGTTAAATTCAAAGGTCTTCTTTTCTTCTAGCATTTCAGGCGAGGATATAGGTGCCTCTATTTCAATGTACTCTGTATGAAGCTCATTTGTAGGACTTTCTTGATTAATATTCGAAATGGAAAAAACTGCATCATTTAGTATTTCATTTGACAATGGAAGAACAACAAGATTTTCCTTTGGTTTCTGCATAGTGAAATCTGATGTAAAGTGTGATAAGGGATCATAACCTTTAATGGACAGTTCCACTTCTGTATCGTAATGATGCTCTTCTTCGGAATTGCTAAATTCATCTGCAATTTTTGAGCGAAAAGTTCTCGCCTCACTGTCCATACCTATCAAGTTATTATAGTGTGGAGATTGAGCAACGTTATTTTGGTCCCTGTCCAATGTAAATGATTCAGGCTCCATCGCTTGCTGCTCTTCTTCCATAAAAGATTCCAAGTCTTTAGAACTTTCCTTTATTACAGGATACTTTGTGGTGCTCTCATATTGTAGCTCAATCACAGACTTTTCCATGTTTTCTGGTTCTGTCTCTAAATTTGAGATGAGCTGATTCATAGGTTCACTCTCAGACACAGAGGATATCACAGAAACTACTACTCCCTTATTAGCAACTGGAAATTCTGAAATATTGTCAAATTTTAGAGCATCAACATTAGACTCTAGTGAATTTAGAGCTAATTCATTTGACTTCAAATCAGAAGAAAAAGAATTTGAAGGCTTTTCTAGATCCTCTTCAATTCCCGATAACGTAGAATAATTCTGATACATGTTAGATTTTTCTTTACTGAATTTATCAAGAGATGTCAGTTCTGTGTGCATATCAACTATCGGAGACAGAGAGCTCTCTTTCAAATTTGGTTCTTGAGAAATTATAGCTGTTGAGTTTATTCGAGGTTCTGAAAGTTCTTCAAATTTATTATCTGACAATGCAAATTCCGACATGTTTTCTGGTTTGAATTTAAGAGGGTATGACTCAAAATCTTGCTCTTCAACCTCATCAACTTTCAGTACTTCTGAAAGCTTTAGTTCATTCACATCAGATAATTCCTCTATTACTACAAAATCACTGCCAAAAGATTCAGCACTATTTTCTGGCACACTTTCTGATATGTAAGTTGGTCTAACCTCAGGAAGAGATTCTGTAAGAAATGAATCATGTTTAACTTCTTCCACATGCAATTCATTCTCTCTAAGTGAATCAAATTCTTGAGTGTTTGAATCTTTCTCATGTGTAAGATATGATGGTAGATTAATGTTTTCACTTTCATTCTGAAATTTGGGGTCCACAAGCTCAGTTGCTAAGGTAGAATGATCATTATAAGATAATATAGATGGCTCAACGTCATCTTGCAGAGATGATGGATACCTATTGACATGTGGTGTTGAATATTCGATGGAGTCTTTCTCTACAATAGAGGATAGTGAATTATCATTGGAATCATTTTCTTGGGTAGAACCTGGGTAATTGAAGATTGAATCATTCTCATGAAGAGGTGGTGAATGATTACTATCATGATAGGAAAATGGAGAGAATGCACTTTCAGAATTGGTTGGGGAATACACATCCTCATGTTCAGAAGGACTATGAGCCTCTTCATGCGCATGTGGGAAATGGGCATTCTTTGACAATGACAGTGGTAGAGTGATTCCCTCCTGTGAGGATTGGGAATGATCCTCCTGTAGAGATAAGGATTGTTCTTCAACTGTATTAAGTTGGAAAAGAGTATCCTTAGGTGTAGATGATGCTAGGGTATCTCCATAATCAGAAGACATATTAAGCACATCATGTGGAGCCATGGAAGGGACATTATAATAATGAGATGATTGAGAGTGAATATCCTCATGGACAGTTGTTGAATATGCATCCTTGTGTAGTGTTGATGCTGAGTGGATATCCTCTGCCTGCAAAATTGTGGAATGAGCCTCTTCTTCATGTACATAAGGGGACTGGGTATGGAGCTTTTCGTGTACAGACAGAGAACACTGCCTCTCATGTTCAGTTGAGGAATCTCTATCTTCATGTTCAGTTGAGGCAGGGACCTCTTCATGCTCAAGTGGGGCAAAGATCTCTTCATGTTTAAGTGGGGTAAAGACCTCTTCATGTTCAAGTGGGGCAGAGACCTCTTCGTGTTCAAGTGGGGCAGAGACCTCTTTGTGTTCAAGTGAGGCAGAGACCTCTTCGTGTTCAAGTGAGGCAGGGACCTCTTCATGTTCATGTGAGGCAAAGACCTCTTTGTGTTCAAGTGAGGCAAGGACCTCTTCATGTTCAAGTGAGGCAAAGATCTCTTTGTGTTCAAGTGAGACAGATACCTCTTTGTGTTCAAGTGAGGCAGGGACCTCTTCATGTTCATGTGAGGCAAAGACCTCTTTGTGTTCAAGTGAGGCAGGGACCTCTTCGTGTTCAAGTGAGGCAGAGACCTCTTCGTGTTCAAGTGAGGCAGAGACCTCTTCGTGTTCAAGTGAGGCAGAGACCTCTTTGTGTTCAAGTGAGGCAGAGACCTCTTCGTGTTCAAGTGAGGCAGAGACCTCTTCGTGTTCAAGTGAGGCAGAGACCTCTTTGTGTTCAAGTGAGGCAGAGACCTCTTCATGTTCAAGTGAGGCAGGGACCTCTTCATGTTCAAGTGAGGCAGAGTGTTCAAGTGGGACAGAGACCTCTTCATGTGCGAGGCAAAACCTCTTCATGTTCAAATGAGGCAGACCTCTTTGTGTTCAAGTGAGGCAGGGACTTCTTCATGAGACCTCTTCGTGTTCAAGTGAGGCAGAGACCTCTTCGTGTTCAAGTGAGGCAGAGACCTCTTTGTGTTCAAGTGAGTCAGGGACCTCTTCATGTTCAAGTGGGCAGAGACCTCTTTGTGTTCAAGTGGGGAAGAGACCTCTTCATGTTCAAGTGAGGCAGGGACCTCTTCATGTTCAAGTGAGGCAGAGACCTCTTCGTGTTCAAGTGAGGCAGAGACCTCTTCGTGTTCAAGTGGGGCAGGGACTTCTTCATGTTGAAGTGGGGCAAAGACCTCTTCGTGTTCAAGTGAGGCAAAGCCCTCTTCGTGTTCAAGTGGGGCAGGGACCTCTTCATGTTCAAGTGGGGCAGAGATCTCTTCGTGTTCAAATGAAGCAGAGACCTCTTCGTGTTCAAGTGAGGCAGGGACCTCTTCGTATTCAAGTGGGGCAAAGCTCTCTTTGTGTTCAAGAGAGGCAAGGACCTCTTCATGTTCAACTGTGGCAGGGACCTCTTCGTGCTCTAATGAGACAGGAACCTCTTCATGCTCAAGTGAGACAGGGACTTCTTCACATTTGTATGAGGCAGGGACCTCTTCACGTTCAAGTGAGGCATGGACCTCTTCACATTCAAGTGAGGAAAGCTCCTCTTCATCTTCAGTTGAGGCAGGAACCTCTTCATGTTCCTGTGAGGCAGGGATCTCCTGTTCAGATGAGCAATACATTTCTCCATGTGTAGATTGGTTGTATACCTGTTGAAGCTGGGAGTGAACATGCTTAAGTTCAGGTTGGAAATAAACATCTTCATTTGCATATAAAGAACTGACCTCATTTACAGATGGAGAACTGACCACATTTACAGATGGAAAACTGACCTCCTCATTTACAGTTGGAGAACTGACCTCCTCATTTACAGTTGGAGAACTGACCTCCTCATTTACAGATGAGAATTGAACATTTTCATGAACAGATGGGAAACAGGACTCGTTTATGGATGAAGAATGGAGCTCTTCTTGTGAAGATGGGAAAATGTTATCTTCATTTACTAATGTAAATTTAACTTCTTGTACAGATGGTGACTGGTTCTCTTCATGTACAGCCAGGAAAATTATCTCTTCATTTAGTGATGGTGAATGGACTTTGTGTGTGGATGGAGACTGGTCCTCATCTTGCATAGATGGGAGAATTGCCTCTTCATTTACAGATGAGAAATGGAGTTTTTGTGTGGCTAGGGATTGGTCCTCCTCGTGTACAGACAAGAAAATTACCTCTTCATTTACAGACGGAGTATGGATCTCTTCATTTACAGATGGAGTATGGATCTCTTCATTTACAGATGGAGTATGGATCTCTTCATGTAGTGAGTAGGAATGGATTTCTTTGTGTACAGATGCAGAAGAATAATGCTCTTCCTGCTCACCTGGGAATTGAAGTACATCATGTACAGTTGGAGAATTGGGGGCCTCTTCACGTTCATAAAGGCTCTTTTCATATACAGATGAGAAAATTATATCTTCATTTGCATATGGAGACTGGACCTCTTTGTCAATAGATTTGAAGTTTATTCCATGGTGAGATTGGGAATAATCCTTTTCATTTAAAGATGAAGAGTGGGTATCTGTAAATACAGATGGAAATTGACTATTTTCTTGAACATCCTGTTGTAGAGAAGATGAAGAATGAATATCCTCATGTAAGGAAGATGAAGTTGAAATACCATCTTGAGAAGTTAAGCTTGTATCATTTAGAGAAGATGGAGAATACTCATTGTCTTGCATGGAAGATGGGGAATGAGCACTATCATGCATGGAAGATGGCGAATGAGCACTATCATGCATGGAAGATGGCGAATGAGCACTATCATGCATGGAAGATGGGGAATGAGCACTATCATGCATAGATGATAAGGAATGAGTATCATTCAAAGAAGATGGAGAGGAATCATCATCGTGGGGAGAAGATGAAGAATTTATATCATGCAGAGATGACATGGAATGATTACCATCATGCAGAGAAGATGGGGAATGAATATAATCATGCAGAGATGAGGAATGAGCATCCCCATTCACAGAAGAAGAAGAAGAAGAAGAAGAAGAAGCAGTAGTAGTAGTATCTTCATGTAGTGATGATGGTGAATGAACAGCTGAATCATTTTCAGTAAGCGATAATGAAGAATGAGCATCACCATTATCATCATGCACAGGTGACTGGAAAAAAGTGTCAGCATCATTCTTGTAAAAAGGATCCGAAATAATTGGAGAATAATTTTCATGTGAAACAGATTCAAGAGAATTAAAAGATTTGCGTGCATGCAGAGATGCAGACCCATCTTGGAAATCAGAGGTAGTAAGAACAGAGGATGAATCTGCATCAGAAGTTGTGTCATAAGAGCCATCCCAAGAAGAAATACCTGAAGGAGGGACAATGTCCATGGGTGAAGCCTGTGTGGGTGCAGGTGTGCTGCTAGGAACCTGCTGCTGCTGCTGCTGCTGTAGGGGCTGAGACTGGAAGGGTTTAGGTTCAAAATTATCGGACTTCTTGATTTCAGCAACTGGGTCTGATTTTGGGGGCTCGGGAGCCTTAATTTCAGATGCCTTTGGTTCCGATAACATAGAAAAACTTGATTTTGGCTCTGATACTAGGGATTCAAAAGGTCTTGTTTCTTGTACCTTAGCATCTAATAGGTTTGTCTCTAACTCTTTTGAATCAGTTGGTTTTGGCTCTTCCTTAACTTCAGCTAATTTTGTATCTTTCATGATTTCATAAGGTTTAGTATTAGCTTTGGCATCTAATTTAGAACTAAAACTATCACCATCTAAGGATTTTCCCTCAGGAATCTTGGTTTCAGAAATCTTAGATTCTTGGGGCTTAGCTTCAACTGGTTTAGGCTCTGTTTTTTTTTCAAGAGACTTTTCATCAACCTTAGAATCTACAATTGTGGCAGTGGTAGGCTTAGGTTGCTCCTGAGAATGAGACTTTGCTTCAGAGGCAATGGAGGATACAGGTGTGCCAGCAAGGGATCCCTGGCTTATCTTAGTAGGTTCGGGCGTTTGTCGAGTGCGGGATTCCAGCACATGGCGATATTCAGATGAAGGAGTTCCACGTGCCGATTCACCTGGTAAAGAATTACATAAGTTAGTAATAAGCAAATGATTAATGTCTACTTTGTAAGTTTTGGAATAGGTAAGAAGCTAATTAACTAAGATTTAGGTTCTGTGGCTCTTGAATGGACTTTTGAACATTTATTTACTTATTCTGGAATTACTTATGCAGATAATTATTTGATACTGCCAATATATCATGAAATGCTAGTTCTTTCTGAAAACTAGCAAATTGAACAAAATACTCATCTCCACTAATGTTAACAATGAAAAGCAGATCATAATGCACAAACTAGACAATGACTTGCCACAACAGACACCTGGAAGCATCTGCAAGCTGTTCAGTCACAGGTCACAATCTCAAGAACCCTCTACCACTTGTCTCTTTTTAATGATTGTGTCTAATGTCCCAAGTAGACATAGAAACTTGTTCTTTACTAAACAGTAGCATCTTCCAAGTCTTAAGGCAGAAATTAAATACTGTATATCTATTAGTTAAAATATTTAAAAATGAAAGGTATTTTGCTTTAATGCATATTATATATATATATATATATATATATATATATATATATATATATATATATATATATATATATATATATATATATAATATCTTATATCCCTATTCAGCATTAATATGTTAAGCAAAATTTTATGTTTAAAATAAATCATACTTTTTCATGGCATTTACAAAAACTAACAGATTATATTTAATTTCATTGTATTTGTAATCATTAACAAAAAATTCCATAATAATTTGCATAGGCATTCCAAATTTTGACTCTCATCATATGACATCATAGCCATGTGATGCAATACTATCATTAGCACCAAATTGCATTTTTGGAAGGTTTAAACCAATGTACTGAATACTGTAGTTTATTAGTACTAAACTAGTTTATTTTCCTTAAATTTAGGAAACCTTAATGATAAATAAACAACTTTTTTTTTTCAAATAGGCCTATTGTAATATGACTGTGCAAACAGACAGACTTAGCTTTTAGGCACTTTAGAGTAATCTTGTAGTTTAACAACCATTAGTTTCACATTGATGTCCTAAAATGAACACTTTTTAACAAAATTAACATTACATAACAATGAATGTACACAGCAAATGCTAATACAGCACATTGCTTCCTATGAAATTGACACTGGTAAGGGTTCAAGAAAATGGATTTGAGATGGACTATGTATGTGTAAAGAAACAATCATGCCAAGCTTCAGCAACAGGAGAATAGTTTTGGCATCAACAGTAAATGCTTGTAATGAATTATTAAAGAGGATAACTATAGTAAACAATTGTACAGTCTGGAAATGAAGACCATAATATACTAAATACTGTACTCATTAGTAGGGGGGGGGGGGGGAAGAAATTTAGATGGAATCTCATATTTCTATAGTGTATGAATATTTATGTAAATGTGGGTGTATATTTATTGTGTGTATCAAATTTAAATTAATAATAAAAAAATAATAATAATGTAATGCCGTGTCTAATAGCCAGAACTGCACTACTTGGCCTAGTATGCAAGGTCCAATATGCCTAACAGGCAGACAAATTTTTATTATTTTCAAATATTTCTTTTCAAATTGGTTCTTTTCTAACAATAATAATATATTATATAAAGAACATGATATAATGACTTGGTTATGTTAGGCTTGATCAAATTGTTGTCAATTTTAACTCAAATATTGTAAAAAAACAATTATACATAATACAATGAAAACTAATCATTTAATAAGTTTTTTAAATTATATATTTTGCAAATATTCAGCTTATTAGGCAACTCTAGCTATTGGGTATCTAGCTATATATATATATATATATATACATACATACATATATAATATGAATGTGAACGAAACATACTGCCCCAAGCCACACATTCAATATGTTGGCCTCGGATGTATAGACCAATTGTATATATAGAAAGTGAAGAAATAGCTTGGTAGAAAACTACCGTCCCATTAGCTTAACATCACATATCTTTAAGCTCATGGAGAGAATCCTAAGGGAGGGGAAATCATTCACGGCGATTTCTCACAGTCACAGAAAATCTCACAGCGAACACACTTGTAAAATCAACGCAACATGCGTTTGTTAAAACTAAATTCAGCCTTACAAACCTACTCACATTTTTGGAAACGGTAACCAGTTATTCAGATAAAGGTCTTGTGGCAGATGTTGTTTACATGGTGTTTTGTCAAACTTTTGACAAGATACCACTTGAAAGACAAGCAAGGAAATTACAGGCACATGGAATAAATAGTAGAATACTAGAATGAATAAAACAATGGTTAAAGCAAAGAAAACAAAGAGTTGTGCTAAATGGGAAGGAACCTGACTGGAGAAATGTGGCAAGTGGGATGCCACAGGGGTCCATTTTGGGGCCAACCCTTGGCCTCAAAAACCCTTGACATTGATGTCATATACATCAATGTCATTGATGAGAATATTGCAAACAACAGCGTGAAATTTGCAAATGACACCAAGATTTATGGTAAAGTGAGAAGTGAAAATGATGTTGAGGCCTTACAAAAAGATCGACATGAAGTTCTTACATGGTCAGAATACTAGCAAATGCTTTTTATTAGGAATAATCCAGTGTACCTTTGACTTTAAGGAAAAGAAGGTGGTTATTAAATTGTATAAATCTCTGGTGCACCCTCACCTGAATTATTGCATCCATATATAGAGATCTCATCTTCAGAAAGATATAGCTTCATTGAAGAAAGTTCAATACCGGGCAACAAAAATAATTCCAGACTGACGTCGAGTCTCGTATCAGAAAGGTTGAAGGCCACAGGGCTAACAACACTGCAAACCGGACATGATAGGGCTGATCTCGTTGAGATGCTCAAAATACTGAACAATTTGAAGGAGGTTGATCCAGACAACTACTTCAAAAGGTCAGATGTAACACAAAGAAGGAACAATAATTCAATTGACTTCAAACCATTGGTTTCAATGTTTTCAAGCTTTTCATTGTAGCTCAACAAGCCACAATGCAGGACTGAAAACAAGAGATGCTTTGTCACCCACAGGGTTACAAGCCCATGGAACTGCCTACCTGTTAAATCCATAAATGTCAAAACTCTGCTGAATTTTAAAATCCAGCTTAAAATAATCATCAGGGCAAAGGTGGGGGTGGGGAAAGACTTTTGACATGCCACTGGTTTATGTTCCTTGTTGAAGCCAATATTGCTAACGGCCCTCAGGAAAATTAAGATAAAATATATTAGAAGCGATATAAATACTGCGCATGTAAATAGGCTCATATGTGGCTGGACCTATTTATATCCATGTTTATAAGAGCAGCCTCATATGGGTCCATTCAAGACAGCTCATATCAATCTTTCTTTTTCTTCTTCTTCTTCTTCTTATTATTATTATATTATTATTTTCAAAGCATAACTGATTTGATATACAGTACTTCATTAAAGCCATATAGAGTTGAGAAAACCACATTATTGGTATACATATCATGTTACTATGACAGTTTTATACAATGACGATTACCACATTCACATTGTAACAATTGTGACAATTACCGCATTCAAACAGTAGGTAACAGCAGGATTTTTTCATGTGTCTTATAAACTCCATTATATCCATATTATCATCGTATATATTAAAACCCAGACAATAATAATTGAAATCAACATGTGACTAGAACTCCATTGCCTTGCACATCAACATATGATGATAACTGTTCTTTAAGGATTAATAGTTTGAGGTAAACAGGGCCTCATTTCACTGGACATGCAAGACACACTGTTAAGCTCTGCTAATGACAGATACACAATTTCTTTAGTAAAAATATAAGGAAAATTAAGAATAATAATTACTGTTAAAAGTACAACACTTTTACCTAGATCCCAAATTTTATGATAGTATCAAAATCAATTTGTTACTTATGAATTCGTTATATGGATGTCCAGACTTTTTGAGGTTCTACTGTGTGTTTGTATATATGTATGTATGTACATACATATGTATGTTAGCCAGAGTCGTTAGTCAAGCCAAATTTCTTTAAATGTCGAGTTTCTGCAAAAATTTATCTTACGAATTTGTATAATTAACTTCTAGATCAATACTGTATATGTTAAATTTAGTGAGCATGGCATGAACATTTTAAAATTTGAACCAAAACAAACTTAGCAACCTGACTTTATATGAATACAGTATGCCCATTTTTTCCTTAACCTTCCTTAAATTATTTAAAACTAGGCTATTTAAGTTAACGTTTAATGAACTCAATATAATATGTTAACTTTATTAGGTGAAAATCCTTTATGACGATAAGAAAATAAAAACGGTTGTTCTGATTTTTAGGCAAAACAGTTCTTGCTTACTCGGTCTAGTTGTACAGTTCTGGTTATTAGGTATGACACACACATGTACAGTATGTGTGTGTGTGTGTGTATAGTATATGTATGTATATCTGTGAGTAAATTAGAAATGTCAAAATAAAGTGCTAGGATTCTGCCAAAGTGCACTGTCAAAAACTGGGACATTCTACACAATATACAATTGTGCTTTGTAAAATGGATTGAGTACAAGGGATTAAACAATGATATCAAACACAAAGATATATGGTAAACATCTGCACTGACTTTTCAAAACCTTTGACCAAAATCATCTACCACATTTTCATTCTTCTTCTTATAGACAAAATTTTAATTTGTTAATGCTCAATGTGGCCATAAAAAGATACAAAAACGAGATAGAGTGTCAGGTGCAAAGGGCAAGAAAAGTACACTGCAGCAAATGGGAGCAATCCAACAGGACAGGGAATGGCTAATGGCACATACACCATGCACTCTGGTATAGCCAACACTCCATCTAGTCTATCTAAATAAGTGTAGTAGGGGGGGGCTGTTAGAAGCCTGATGGGACTTTTTTTGTCTAAACTGCTATTTTGGAATCCTGACCTTAGTCCATAAAGGGAGTTGCAGTCTTTTAATCAAAATAAAAGCATTTTAAGTAAATCCAACTTGTGCAGTTTAT